TCATAAGACCACTACAAGTGGACCTTGATGAAGCTCCTGTGGAGTTAGAGGTACTATTTTGAAACTTATAACTGACTGAAAATTCTGGAGCTTCACAGTTGTATTTGGTTTTTGATTGTTCCTTATATTTATATTTAATAAATATTTACCGAGCAGGCAAGTCTTCAAACAATTAACTAAAAATGCTTTGTTTTCTTATCTTAAGTCATTTGTATTTTGTTTTCTTGATTTTTACAGTCCAGACTTGTCGCAAAATAAGTCGCTATTTTGATGACAACTCAATATTCCGAGCTTGAGCGGCATTATATTCATAGAGGACCAGCTAATGAGAGYGCATGTTCTTACTGTTCTTATTTATGCTGCGAGCATAGCATATGCCAAAAAAAATCAGCAAGGTGTAGTTTTGGSAAATCATATTCTTGAGGAATGTGAGTTAAAACCTCTCAATGATTTATCAATATCAACTAAAGAGTTAAACTATGGTGAATTAAGTCAATTAAGTCATCAAGTCAAAATTATATAATTATTTTGTTATCAACTGGACTGAAGAATTTAAGAAAATGATAAAGCAATAATGGGAAACTTCACATCTTTTATAAAATTAAGCAGACTTTTGGTTTTGAMAATTATTTAGATAAGATTGTTAACACTAAATACCGTCAAGMAGTAACAAAATTAAGAATTTYAGCACATAGGTTACCTGTTGAATTAGGTCGTTACTCAAACATAGCCTATTGTTGAATAAAACTGACAAATCAGTAAACAGTAAAACCAGAGTTAAAACTGAAAACAGCATTAACCAATCCAATTATAGTGTYCTCACACTAATACGATTCTTGAGCCAAAAGCTGCAATATGATTGGCTAATTTATCTATGTGGCCCCAAGTCTAGTAGTCGCACAGTAAGCGCTAATGCCCTATTTTACTATGACAACTAAATCAGGTGTATATAATTGAAAAAGCAATCAATTGTTTAAATCTYCATTAATGTGCACCAGGTAGCTATAGAGGACTCTCCTAAAGTTAGCTGTGTTAACTGTGGTYTGTCCATTTCTATGGCCTATATTAAAGACCATCAGAAAGAGTGTAGGGGTGGAACAAGCCAGCAACAACAAGTACAACAACAGACATCACAAGATGTGGTTGATTTAGTATCAAGGTGAATCACAATAAATATACTATACAGTACTGTTCATAGCCTATTTCCATAAGCCGTAGTTTTCACTTCTCATATTTTCGATTTCTCCAAACTTGAGATTTATGGTACTTCTAACAAATGTTTGTGCAAAGCAAAATGAGGCTCGTGCATATCAAATTAGCCAGAAGTGAACAAGAGCAAACTAACATAATTAGGTAAACTAATAAATATCCCAATATATAGTACTAATTGAAATTTAATAAATCTACACAAATTAATGTTTTCACAAAATCATTCTAATCCATAATGAAATGCATTTGCAGGCCACACTTGAAAAAATTGCCATTTGACTCATTTCATAAATATTACTTATTGCTATCTCAGGAATCAAGATTYAACCACCACCACCAAAGAGTCTGTTGGTAATATTCATAAWTTTTTTAATATGTTATGAACCTTTTTAACTGTTTCTTTTTTTCATCCACTTTAGATAATTTATATATCTGCTTGGGTTGGAAGYTTAGTTTAAATTTTAACTTTCACCTATACATCTTAGTATTCAATATGCCCCTTTGATGCAAATTAATGCATGGAATGAGGGCTTTAATATTCATCTTAAGTTTTGTATTTATTTTAGGCTCTTCATTTGACACCCTAGCTGAGATGTTCCCTTGCCGAACAWCAGTTGATATTCAGTCAGCAATTGATGTGGCTGGTGGTGAAATTGAGAAAGCAATAAATGTGCTGCTTGGTAATGGATGTAAGTAATGAACTGACTGATGCAAACATTTATTTTTGATAAATTGAACTTGCTTAACATGATAAGTAATTCAAAGGTCAGCTATTGTCTGTTATCATTGTACAGTGACTATGTGTGAATTGTTYCAAGTCCTTCCATGCACACTGATTCATCAAAGTGTATGTGATGTAGCAAGTGTTAACACATTTTCAAAATTTGATTTTTTACTTAATTAGGCAGTGGCAATGTTGAATCAGATGATGACTTGATGGAAAGCGCATTTGAAATTGAAGAATGTGTCAAGCAGAATCTGAGTTTAGATGAAGTGTTGTCAAGTCACAGAAAAGCCCTACCCTCAAGTGGTTGGGAGAGATTTACAATCAAGAGAGAAAATCTTTGGCAAGAAAGCATTGCTATATTTAA